TGTTTGTGTTGGTGCTGCTCAAAGAAAGCCTTCAAAACATTCTTTAGGWATATGTTTTGAACATTTCTTTTAAGGAACCTATACATTTATTTAACATGATTTGACAATGTCCATTTATCTCACATCTTTCTATTGATGCAGCTGCTTATTTTCTCACTACTCTACTTGTGACTTAATCTTTGGTTTGTTGGGATGGGTCATATTTACAAAATAGTCAACAATTAACAAGTGTTTGCTTCATGTGTCACAAGTAAAACAGATTAAATGTTTCTGAGTGTCTTTTTGTAGATGATGTGATATTATACTATATAGACTGCAGGTGATGTACTGGGCCCTCTTTTTTAACAAAAACAAAATGAATCAGTCTTAAAATCACACCTGCCTTTAATGATTAGTAACTGTACTTGTTGTTCTACTTTGTAATTAATTTAATTTATTATGATTAAAGCTAAATACTGTACATGTATTTGTCCAGTGATTATAGAGTATTTCAGCTCCTTCAATGATTTATTTATTTATTTTACATTAGTGGTCTGTGACCAGCTGCCATCTGTCCATGCAGCTTTAGCCAATCCAAACAGAGCAAGATCTTTTAGTTTTATGGTCATCTGCCTGCAGACAGTTCACTTCCTCTCTAAATGAGGGGCTCTGTGCAGCAGAGTTACTTCRGAGCCGAAGGCAACAACTAGACTGACCCAAAATGAGCTGTTTGTCTTATGCGTAATTCAGACCAGTGCAGGATCCAAACGCATTTAGTTTGAGCACGACGCWGTGTTTTTGGCAGAATTCACGAAGAATTGATAGTATCGAAACAAATGTTCACTTCCAGACTTATTCTTTTAAATTTAGATCCTTGGCTGGATGTTCTTTCATCATTTGTTCCTTCCTGTTCATCATCTCTTTCATTCATTCCAGCTCCTGTTTCCAGAAGCTCATTCTACACTTTCTGAAATGTGTAATTGTGTTGTGTGTGTGTGTGWGAGAGAGAGMGAGATCCTACAACTGTTTGTGTACTTTTCTACCTGTCAGCRCCTGCATCCTGCCAGGAGTTGAAATTTTATATTTTTCAGATACAGTATTTCCACTGTTGAGCTMTGGGTGAAATATAATTCACATTAAAGCTAAATAAGTTTCCTGTAAACCTTAAGCGAAGCTATAAAACAGATTCCCATGGACTCCAACAGATTTGACACTCTGYTCTCATTCTTTCTTATGTAAGAAGCCTCCTCTGAGTTTAAAAGACAAAGACTTTCCATCAGATGCTTTTGTTATCAAATGAAAACAGCAGACTGAGACACTGTCTGCAGCAGATGAGGTTTTCCCTGCATGTTTGTGATTTATTTGGGTTACTGGGTGCATTTCACGGCCTGCAGTGACTGTCTGCTTTACAGTTGGTTAAMTTCTCCTGGCTGACCCGCTGCAGCTGAGGAGAAGGAAGGGTGGAGGCCGACCTGGCAGCAGCTCAACAGTGGAAATTCACACCTGGCCTCAGGCTTGAAGAAAAACTAAATGAGTTGTGAAGAATATTAGTCCTGTGGATTCTCTGCTGCACCCTCAGTACGGCTCATAATTACTGCTGCTCATTGAATGTGTCAGAAGGCTGCTGTCATTCTAATTTTTGTCCTAAAACAGTCATAAAACTCAGAATTACTTCAGTCTTGCTGTTGAACCTAAAGGGCTCTGAGTCCCCTGAGATTTCCCCTGTGTATAGATATTTTTAAAAGTATTAAAAGTGTTCAAACGACGTGTGGAGAGTTTTATAGTCCTCTCGTTTCGAGCACAAGGCACACAATTTAACTTTTTGAAACGCCCTTTTCTGTAAAGCCAGTTTTGATTTGGACAYGTCTGTGTTTAATTGTGGGGATTTGCTTTTTTGATTATTGAAAACAACTTTTGGATTTGTTTGAATAGACTATGATGTGACTAAGACTGCAGCGCCCAGGAATGAAGCTGCTCTGTATTAACAAATTAACTTTTAGTATTTGTGGCTTGAATGTGGAGCTACAGTATTTGACAGCAGTTTTATCTGGATTGAGTCAAACACTCTTTTAAAGGTATTTATGTAACCTGTCATGTTGTGTTAAAAAACTAGTCAGATCATTTGGAAGACAAAGTCAAAAAAAAGTCATTGAATACATTCATTTTTATTTCTGAAATGTACAACTTTTGTTTATGAACATTTCTGATTATTTTGAGAAAAATGATGAATGTGAAGATTTGAAGTCTATCTCAAAGCTAATGATGTGATGCATTAAAGAAACATAATAATAATAATAATAATAAACTATTTATATGGCACCTTCCAACAATACCTTGCATCGACCAAAGTGCTTCACAAGTTAGAACAAATAAAAACAGTTAACAATAAATCAGTGAACGTTAAAAACACCATAATAATAATAATAATAAACTATTTATATGGCACCTTCCAACAATATCTTGCATCGACCAAAGTGCTTCACAAGTTAGAACAAATAAAAACAGTTAACAATAAATCAGTGAACGTTAAAAACACCACTACAATAAAAGAAGGTAAAGAAATATATTTTACTAAAAGTTAAACATCAAATGACCTTTAAAGAAAATATATTAAGTTTTGCTTTGAACGAAACCAGGTCAGAAATGGCACGTAACTCACAGGGAAGACTATCCCATGCTGTTGGACCAGCGACAGAAAAGACTGGTCCCCCCTATTTCTTGCACTTAGAGCGAGGCACTTCGAGCAGATGTTGACCAGCACACCGCAAAGCTCTGCTGGGCTGGTGGATTTTCAAAAGTTCTGAAATGTAGGGCTAGTCCATTCAAAGCTTTAAAAACAAACAACAGCTTGCACCGTATCCTAAACTGAACCRGGAGCCACTGCAAAGAAGAGAGGACAGAAGTGATGTGTTCATATTTACAACTGATTAAGGTTGATTAATTCCAACATATAAAGCATTACGATAATCAAGCCTAGAACTTACAAAGGCATGGATGGATCACTACGACCAAGCAGTGCCTTTACTTTAGTAAGCGGTCGGAGCTGAAGAAGCCTATTTTCACAACAGAATCAATCTGTTTATTGAGCTTTAAGTTGAAATCGAGCTTCACTCCTAGATTTCTTAACACCTGGTTGAAGTAGGGGAGCAAAGGACTGAGAGAGGTGTTAGATGAGTTACTGCATTCATCAAACAAAATCCATTCAGTTTTGTCATTATTTAAGTGGAGGAAATTTTGAGACAGCCAATGTTTGATGTCATTTWAGCAACTGACAATGGAGTTTAAACTTAGAGAGTGATTGGCTGATAGATTTGCAAATCATCTGCATATAGATGGGAAGACATAATTGATATAATGGGTCCTAAYRGCAGCATGTAAAGTGAGAAGAGAACAGGCCCCAGAATGGATCCGTGCGGTACTCCAGAGGTCAGAAGAATTGAAGAAGAGGAGGACAAATCCCCTATCATGACAGAGAAAGTTCTGTCAGCACAACTCCCTGAAGGCCAACCTGCTGAGCCAGGCGAGGGATGAGGACCACAGGATCCACAGTGTCAAAAGCTGCTCAGTGGTTCAGCATCACCAGCAGAACAGGTTTTTTTGGTGTGAACTGTTAAGCCAGACTGAAATTACGAGCAGCGACAACAGTAGAACACAATACAGTTAAGYTTTGTGATTCAATATTAGTTTAAATTCAATACACTGTTTCAGTACAATACAGCAAAGTAAAGGTATGATTATTTTAATTGCCTAAAAAAATGGTCACTTATGAATAGGTTTAATAATTACAAAACACTTTCACAAAACAATTAAACAATGCACAAAATGAGACCTAGTGCAAAATAAAGCTAAACTGCAGACTGAAACACTCAATAACTTAACATTTATTAGAAAATTGTATTTTCTACATTATAATAAATAAAACACAAGTTAACCTTATCAAGTTTTGTTCTTAAACTATTATTCAATTTGCATGATCAAGGTGAAGCACACTTTTTGTTAAAAAAGCAGGAAATACACAAAAGTAAGAGTTGTATTCAATGAGGTATAGAGGAGTCATTCATTCTTCAGAAGACTAACCACTGTGGTATGTGCGCGACRCCATATTGGAAGGGGCAGSCTATCAATGTAAACAATTAATCATGGCTAGATTTATGTGTAGAATTGTAAATAAATATTAGTTTTTCACTGGTTAGTTTCTGTATATTAGAAACATATTTTAATGTGGATATGTGTACCATGGGAACATGTTTGTGACTGATATAATATGAACTGACGAGCATTTATATCAAATTAGAGTAATGGTCATCAATAACAAACTGAGTTTCACTGATGTGTTGAGCTAAAATTAGCACGTCATGTTTACCACATTCAGCTTAACAGTGCTGTCAGTTGAGTTGTCCTCGCCCTGAACAATATGGCCRCTTTCTCCAACTATGAAAAGTCACAAGAAGGCGACTCCARTCAATATACCTCATTGATTGTGTGCTAAAAGAACAGCCTACAGGAGATGTCACTACACTTTTCAGCTTTTCAATTTTTTTTACTTTTATGAGCTTTTTTTTTTTTGTAAAGAGATACTACATACTCTTGTACATTTATTTTACTGTACTGTAGTTTTTGTTGTAAAAAAAAATGCTGCTTAGTGACAAAAAACAGTGGAGTCTGCTTTGAAT